TCACGTTTTGTGTAAATAAGTATTGGTCAACTTTTGCCCAATATTATTATAATTTTATCATATCACTATTATCTTTTCTTTGTTATTGTTTACCTCTTCGGCAACGCCCTTGTTGTTTTTTCGTATTATTATTGTTGTACGTAAAAATATTTTTCTTCTTGTCTCGCTATTGCAGCGGTGGCTTTTTGTCGTTGCTATTGTATTTTTTAAGTCGCATTGAGCGCATAGTATTTATTAAAATTATTATTATTATTTTTGTGATTCATCAATCAAATATACCATACAATATTATATAGTAAGTTACTATTTTATATCACCTCCTTTCATCTGCTCAACATAGTCAGTGGCTCCCGATTATTGTGTGGTGCTGCCCTGGAGTCCCCGTCACGACCAATGAGAGTGCCGATGCGTAAGTCCGCCAGCAACAAATACGTTGTGTGAGATTCCGCCCAGGTCGTCCAGTGTGTCGGGTCAATCCTCAGAGGGACTACAAGAAAACATCAGTCTGCCTTAATTTTAAGTTTTGCCTTAATTTTTAATTTTAAGTTTAAGTCCCTGATCTGTGTGAGCTCTGTGGTCATTGCACCAAACCGATTCGACCACAGAGACCCCCCCCCCCCTCGATAACTAAACTGTACTTCATTATTCCCATGTACTAACTCCCGTCCACGTCATAGATTTCGTCGTCGTGAAATTGATTGCCTAACGTCACTTTGGTCAGGAGTAGATTGGGTTGCCTACTCAGAACAGTAGTAGGCGTTCTCTGACGGTTCTCAAATTTGGTATTTCTCTCTCGGTTCGCATTGTGTGGTCCTTTGGTCTGTGCCCCCATTTCCGGGCGTATTCAGAAACCAACAAATAACATTTTATTGATATTTTTAAAATAAAAACTAAAAAAAAAATGGAATATGAAAATGTACCTAAGCAGTTCAAAACAAATCATAATATTTTAAAAATTTCATCGTGTATAGAGAATGCAAATATAAGCAACCAGTGAAAATTGCATGGATATACGTTCATTTGTTTTAGAGTTACACCAAAAACCAAAATCGATTTTTTGGAAAACAGATTTTGCGTAAAAATTCCCGTTATTCCTTAATTTTTATGTGTTTAATCACGGCGCTTGTGAAAACTATTTTGAATTTTAAAATTTGACCTCCTGAATGCACTAACTAGATTCACTTCTCAATCGAACAAGATACTGAAGTTGAAAATCTAAGCATTATTTCGACTACTATTGTGTACACAGACACAAAAATAAAAAAAAATTAAAAATTTTAAAATTTTAAAAAAACACATCATTGTAAAATCAATACCTTCATCGTTCCACTCAGAATCTAAAAAACCTAGAATAACTATTTTAGTTATTTTGTTGTGATTGTAATATTGTTTGTGGGTACTCGAAACTTTCTAAATTACACTCTTATACATACATCTATTGATGTATATTGGGTTTGTTGTTGACGTATAACGCATTGTAAGTACCTAATGGATATTATGATATTATTAATTTAGAATTTATGATAGGTACCTATTTTAGGTAAATTTTTTTTAATACGATAGATAAGTATATAATTTGTCTTATACCTAGACTGACTACCGTCTCCGCTCAGAATCGTTTTTCTTATACAATGATATTATATCATTGAATTCGAATTTAATACTATCCATTATACAGTGACCCACTTGTAACCTACTGTACAGCAGAGCACCTTTTTTAATTTAAAATGTAATTTTATTAAATTACAATATAATTAAATTAAATTAAATTAAATTAATACTGTAATAGGAATTGAATTTATCAACAGCCACAATCCACTCGCACTCAACCCAACAGTCAGCAGACACCAGACTACTAAAAAATAGATATCATAGTTTGTAGTACTAGGTACGCATTAAAAATAGAAAACAATAATAAATTATCAATTGTAAATACCTATTACATACCAGTATTTTAGTATCGCCAAAGAGTCCTTCTGAACGTGTTAATTCCAAGCACTGTTATAATGTTTAAGCATGGTATTTTTATTTAATAATAATAATTATTACTAGAAACAAATTAAGAATTAAAAGAAAAAAAAAGTACTCAATGAAATAGTATTCAATAGAAAAAAAAATGGGTGAGTGGATTTCGCTCTGCTGTACAGTAGGTTACAAGTGGGTTAATGTATACACGATTGTATTAAACTTGAATTCAATGATATAATATCATTCTACATGAAAAACGATACTGAGCGGAGACGGTTTGACGTACATTTCCTCAGACCCACCCTTTATTAATTTTCCAAACTTTTCTATATGCTAATATTTAGCACGTGATTCGCATGAATTTGTACGACCGTTTCCGAAATTTGTACGGCAACGGTTCGCCCGCAAAATGCAATTTTCCATGGACGGGGCGTGGGAAACTTTTCTCCAACCCCACCCAAGTGGAAAATAACAATATTAGCCTTTTTCATGTATTTGACTGACTGTTACCAAATGTATAATATATTATATAATAATAATAATATATTAATAATTTTTATTTACATATCATAAACATTTTGATGACTACAATAAACTTAACAGACCATATAGGTACTTATATATATATATCACTAATTTTAACAATACCTAGGTAAATGGTAATATCAAACATACCTAACTCATAAGAACTGTTATTATAATATAATATAACAAAAATGTTATTGATATTTAATAATTAAAATTATAATAATTTTGACAAAAATAACAGGTACATTTCAGCATTCACTTTAAATGAGGTGTATTTAATTATACTTGATATTTTGTATCATCATAAGACTCCCACTGCTGATTGGACCTTAATCAATATGCAACATAATGCCCATCCGTCTGTCTTAGATCACCTCTTTCTGGACCATAAAATGCAATTACAAATTGTAATTAACATAATGTATCATGATTTGATTATTGGAATCAAGTTTCCATGACATTTTCCCTGCATAATTCTGTTTTATATTTCTAGTTGGCTGTGTGTTGTTGAAACTACTTGAAGATCTAAGACCTAAAAAAATTATGTCATAAAAAATAAAATGTTACCTACCTAAATGAAATCATAATTTTTTTAATTATCAACTCTACCCTAACAAGTATTAATATTTAATATTAATAGCCTATAGGTACCAATGTACAATGTATCTAAACATTTCCTAACATCTATATTATAGTTATTATTATTATGTCACAAATAATATTCACCTCGAGGTATTGACAATAGTTCTATAATAATATGCTCATTTGGTTTCATAAATACTTAACTATAATTACAAACACTTATTTTCATTAATTCTGCTTGGAATAAGTGATGTAAACTATTGCTTCAGAATAATGGATTAGGGATCATATGGAAAAGAGAGTGACTGTAATATTTTATGTAAACAGTCATGGTTTGGAAAAAATAAGTGTTGGAAAAATGAACTTTCCCCTCATGCTTCTTTTCCTGGGATGGAGATGGTTTACCTTAACCATTTATTTTAGTTGGTTATGACTGATGAGGCATTTGCCTTATAAAAACATTTGTTCTGGCCATATCCAGAAAAAAAGGAGAATTTTTATTACTGGCTGTTCAGAGCTAGAAGGTAGGTACATTGAATGTACATTTCGTAAATTTTATATTATATTATAATAACAGTTCTTATGAGTTAGTTATGTTTGATATTACCATTTACCTAGGTATTGTTAAAATTAGTGATATATATAAGTACCTATATGGTCTGTTAAGTTTATTGTAGTCATCAAAATGTTTATGATATGTAAATGAAAATTATTAATATATTATTATTATTGTATAATATACTAGCTGATCCCGTGCACTTCGTTGCCCGTTAAATGTATCAACTCTATATGACACAAACTTTGTTCGATTCGTCATTTAATAATCTGTGTATGGTGCTCAAAATTTATCTTAACTTTTCCGTTGCCCGGAATAAAAATTCTGATTCGCAGCAGTACATTATCAGGTAGGCAATCTACCTGCGGTAGATGTTTGTACGTAAATGTATGATTTAACTCTAAAGTATCAAAGTTATACCAAGTTTGTCGTTTTCACTTAATTCCACCTACGATGGATTAATATAATCAATTTATACAAAATCCTATCCTAACCTAACCGTACTAAATCCGATGAATAAAAAAAACAAATTTAACCCATTGTAAATTAACCTATCTTCTTCCCAGAGGTCTAATCTACCCACAAACATTAATTTATATATATATATCTAACTATATAAATACAGAGACTATAACTATACAGACTAAACTCTGGAACTACTTATCAGATCTTCTTGTATATTATATATATTATGTAAATTGACAAAAAATAATAATACAAATAAACAAACATGTCCGATTAACCAATAGAAACCTAAAATTTTCTTTCATGTAAACCTTCTCCGTGAAATACTCTTTCGTTAAAAAAAAAAATCAAGAAGATCTGATAAGTAGTTCCAGAGTTCAGCCTGTACAGAGATTTTCATTTTATTTCATTTTTATAGTTTGATATTATATTATAATTTATATTTAAAAAGTAAAGCAAATAGTTTTTTTTTATTATTATTACTAAAAACATATGGCAACCATTTATAAACAACAATTTCCATCCGAAATCTCAGAATTCCCGTTTGAGCACCTCCCGGGGTTGGTCCTCTCCCTTGTTAAATTAGCCTATCTTTTAAGTTTGACCAAATTACACGTGGTGTAAAAAATTTCATAAAAATCGGTTAAGTGGTTTATTAGTCCATTGAGGACAAACATTGTGACACGAGATTTATATATATTAAGATTATACATTTGGTTACAGTCAGTCAAATACATGAAAAAGGCTAATATTGTTATTTTCCACTTGGGTGGGGTTGGAGAAAAGTTTCCCACGCCCCGTCCATGGAAAATTGCATTTTGCGGGCGAACCGTTGCCGTACAAATTTCGGAAACGGTCGTACAAATTCATGCGAATCAAAATTCAAAATAAAAAATCTTCCTCAAAAGAGTTCATGTTTACGTAACGAACGAACACCAATAGCACCAATAGCAAGACCAGCAATATCGGTTGATACGTCCATTTTTTGTGCGAATTTTATGTATTTAATACGAGAGATAACTGTTTCTGATACGTTGCTAGCCAAATCTTCAATTCGCCGTGCAACAGTATTATTTGACAAATGAATTATGGATAAATGTTTGACAGATTTGTCATCAAGCATACAAGTTACTATATCAATAACACATGATTTTATGAGGGTCTCCACAATGGTATGAGCTTCGTCTTTTTGAGCTATATGATAACTCACCATGTAGGAAGCTCTCAATGCGTTCTCATTATCTGTTAGAACGTGCTTTTTTATTTTTTTTTACAGCCAATAGTTCAGAGCGCTTTCGTTTGAAAAAATCGAGTGGTTTCCCATCATGATCTGGGTGGACCTTTCCATAATGACGACGTTATTTTCCGGGATACATAGAGCTGTTAGCAAAAACTTTTGAACAAATTACGCACTGTGGCTGGCCATCGTTTGTTTCTATGAACCCCATCTCCAAATAACTTTCATTGTATTTACGTTTTTTGGACGTTCTTGGCACAGAGTCACCAGTATTTGGTGGTAGTGTTTTACTCATACCTTGAGAAGTAGGACAATTATCATTAACTCCGTCTTCGTTGGTTATGCTTTCTTCTATATAAGAACAAGATGACTCTGTATCAGGCGTCTTATTAATAGACCCACTTTTAAACCAACGGTCCACGTTTAAAAAAAAAAAACAAACGCATGTACAGAAAAATATAGTTCTTTACGAATATACGTGTTAACGCATAAAATGTTGGTCACAGACTGAAAGTAAAAGCTCAACTGGTTTGGTATAATAATAATTCCGAAAATATACTAGTGATACGATTAAATTTAATGAAAGTTGCCAATTCGAAAAAGTCGTGCGTGTATAATGTTATCTGAATTTATTCGGCCAATGTCATTTATCTTAATCGATACGATTAGAAACACAGTATTAAATATATCGAGTGTACCAGGAATTTCATACGTAAAACAATTTTTTTTTCACTACAATAAATTGTAAATATTTTTTTTCATTCTCGGATTGGGCACCGCTGTAATAGTATAAACATTGTGTGCAAAAGAATACATACATAACATAATAAATTATAATTTATCTCAATTTAAGATTGTATATAATAAGAAAACTTATAATTAAATATAGAATACATATTAAATATAACTAAAAAATTAATCTAAGACATAAGTATTACCCGCAGCCATCAAAAGGTTAGCAGGAGAGTTAAGTATATAATTTTTTGATGAGAAAAGGGGATAGAAGATTTTTGGATCTCTAGTATTAAGACTATTAATTTTAAAACGGATTAAAGAAAGAATTTTAGGACAGTCAATTAAATCTAATATCAGCTTTTGCAAATGTTTGGAGAGTAAAAGAGAACGACAATCAGAGAATAAAGAAATATTAAGAACATTTTAAATATTAATATAAGTGCCGTGAAGAGGTCTGTTGATATTAAATTTAAAAGAGATGAAACGTAAAAAGTTATTTTGAACAGATTCTAGCATAATATTTGGCTTTGATGTATTATTTATTCAGATGAGGGGGCAATACTCAAGATTACTACTGTCGCGGTCGTTATAGCAACGACCGCGGAGTCTCTATCGACGTCCGCGAGATTGCGACTGACAACCGACCCGGCCAGCGGCGGAGGTAGGTCAGCTTTTGCCTTAACGTCGTCGTCGTAAAAACGTGTATATATTATTGTGACATATACTGTTTACGATCTGTGCAAATAAGGGTATTATAGAAATTGAAGTGCCTCGTTATTGTGTTTGCATTCTTTCCATCCGTTCCTACACCTACAGTGGCGCAGTAGGAAAAGGAGAAAGGTAAGTCCTAATTTCAATAAAAATCATTTTACGTAAATTAAAGTAAATTAGCACATATCGGTTTAAAAGAAACTGCAATAAGTGTCCTGATCATACCGGTTCCTAAGAGTTTTATTCTGATTTTTTATTATAAATAAAATATTAAGGGCTTGTCCAATTTAAGGTGGTAAATTGTGGCAAAAATTGCATAATTTAGAGTGATTCCTACAGTGCTAAACTTGGTTTAGGCTATTTATGGATTGGAAAGTACATATCTCTACCAGCGATAACCTGAGTTACGTAATTTCGTATCCATCGTCATTTAATTAGATAGATAATAGCAATTAAATTTAATCTCTACAATGGTTAGCAAATAAATTAGTGATTTAAATATTGTCGATATTAACAAGGAATTATCGAAACGTGGTATTGAGACCGGGGGGTCCAAGGCCGATAAACTACTAACATTAGAAGAGTAGAAACATTAGAGCTAAGGACAATTTGGATCCAAGATTAGTACGGTTTGGGGAAACTGACGAGACGTTAGCCCAGGTACCGGAAGAAAAAACATCGGAGGCCCAAACTGAGGAGGATGAGGTCAACTCTGAAAGGAGTTTGATAAAAAAGTTCATGGAGCAGATGTTAGATAGGTTGGAGAGGTTGGAAACAACGGTCGACAAGCAGCAACTGACAATCACTACTCTCAGCGAGAGCGTGGAACACTTGGAGCGGGAGTTAGCCGAAGAAAAGCTCAAGTTGACCTAAAGGGTAAAGCAAGCAAGTTTCTCATGCCATGGAAATCCACAACGACCATCCACCAGCGATATATCCGGAGCAAATCAGATTTGGCAGGATGAAAATCAACATCGTCCAGTTAAAACTCAAGGCGTGAGTTTTGAAAGCCGATGGGCGAACATACGGAGTAGATTGACCCGGGAAAACCCGAGAAATTGGAGTGTTTCCGGTAATCAGACCGGAGTGTCCGGTGAAATGTCCGGCAGAAGTCGTGAGGAAGCGTTATGAAGTAGTTTCTCCTTTGTAAAACACATGCATTTCCCGGATAGCCTGCTCGTTCTTCAAAATGATTTGAATATGGCCCGTGGGTCGATACCAGAGTTTTTCCGGTAAGAGGGAGGAAGACCCAGTACGGGTTTTTGATCCAGGCCAAGGCAATACTTGAAGAAACTGGTATCCACGAGACTAGATGGGTGACCGTTTTGGCCCCTCAGCTGAAGGCACAGGCAGGAACATGGTGGGGAACAATGAGAGCGTTTGACTTGCCATGGCAAGAGTTCAGGTCCGAACAATTGGAAAAGTTAAATGGGGACGAGTTGCAGTCGACTCTCCAATCAGAGTTGTTGAGTACCGCTCAGACTAAGACCATAACTTCGGGGGTGTACGTCCTACACAAGTACCGGTTGTATCGGAGTTTAAACTTTGGTCTGGCAGAAGAAGCGGTGGTAATGGCAATGATTAGACTAATGCGTGATGAATTTAGAATTCATTCACGTATACAGCGACTGAAATCGTTCAGCGAATTACGAGCACTTTCCCATGTTCTGGATAGTAGCAAGGCCGTAATATCGGATAAGGCAGGAGTGAGCACCAGCGTACCACCAAAGTTAAAATGGTTGGATAAACGAAAAGCTGAGAGTGCTGAGAAATCAAAAGTGCCGAATCCGAAGCAACGACTATCTTTGGGAGCATTATGCAGAGTATGTAGTAGTCATGACCACTGGCAAGCTGCATGTCCAAAAAGAAAGTCAAAGTCAGGAAACGCCAAAACGACCGGCGGGACCGCTGGGTCCCGGCCAGCCAGGAAGTAACCGGCAGAAAAATCATGAGTCGTCCGAAGAGAGGTAAGCAACTGAGTTCAACGTGGGCAGTGAGTAACGTTCCGGTGCAGAAACCACAAATTACAAGAACTGACCCTGAGAAACGGAACTTCGGAGCGTTACAGACCGGAGATTCGGGAAAGGGCCCGTAGAAATCGGGCCAAAAGAGTTCTGAACCGATGAAATCAGGTAAGAACCGAATTTCTCCGGAGAAAAACTTTTTTCACAAGAAAATACCCTTTGGAGTGAGGAGTTGTCCTGTGAAAACCGTCGAGCTTTCGGAGAAACACAGAAGAATTGCTGAAATCACCCGGGAAAATCCATTGAAAAGGATGTTCCGGTAAAAGAACCACAGTTCGTGAGTCGTGACAATGAACCGGGTAAATGGTTCGGTGATGGAAACAGGTTCCGACCAGCTGGAAAACAAGTCATGAAAATCATTAAGTGAAAATGTTTCAGACAAAAGTGAAAATCTCACTTTGTTATCTTTCCAATAAAAATGTCGCGGACAGCATTTCAAGTGGTGCGGAGCAAGATTAGTTGTTAATTTGTCCGGTCACATCCGAAGATATTTCCGAGAAGTTTATTCCTTATCCACGAGAAAGGTGCAAGAGGAGAGACTCAGATACGGACTCAAAGTTTGATTTGAGAGAACGCTTTTCGGATCTGTGGACCTTAGTGTTCGAGTCCCCCGCCATTGCAACGGTGTCAACAGGGAAAATTAAAGTATCGGATATTCCGTTACCGGCCATAGAACTAGAGTTTGCACTCAGGGCAGAAGTAGTGTTACTAGACTCTCAAGCGGCGAGGACATACGTCAAACCGTGGGTTTCAAAGAAGTTTGGCCGGGGTTTTACCGAGGATCCGGAGATTGTCCAGATGGCGGACGGCCGGAACCGAGAAATTATGGAGTTTTCAAAATTTAGGCTGGAATAGTGGATATGGTTTTAAGCTTCAGGGCAGCAGTGTTAGACGATCTCATTGGAGATGTCTTTCTGGGCCATGATTTCCTCGTGGAGCTACAAGTCGCATGGGACTATGGTGGTTGCAATATCCACCTGGGGAAAAAAAGACGCGTTTCCTTGAGCTTGAGAAATCCAGTTACTCCGGTCACCGTAGGAGTGGACTTAAGAACCCCAGGTTTACCCGAAGGAGAGTACGGTACGCGGGTCAGGGAAGTCCTATGCCAATATCCGGAGGTTTTCTCAGGAGAGGTAGGCAGAACTCTTGTGATAGAGCACCAAATCCGTCTCAAAGATCCAAATCTGGTGGTTCTAAACGCTTACGGGTACTCTCTAGAGAAAAACGAGGTGATCGCCAAAATGGTACGAGACATGAAGGAACAGGGTTTTGTTGAACAAAACATATATCCATGGGCTTCACATTTGGTACTCGTGAAGAAAAAGGATGGCTCACGTAGATTTTGCATTGACTATCGCCGTCTAAACATGCAGACGGAGTCGGAAGCTCACCCGATGCCGGACCTCCATGACATGGTCCGAGGAATGGGTGGAGCGAAGATTTACAGCACCATGTATTTGAAATCGGAATATTGGCAGGTGGGTCTCTCACCAGAGACACGTCCAC